CATGGTATCTGTATACTTTTCAATTCTATTAAATTAATATAGTCTTCCATGTAACTTGGTCCCACCCTTACTCACTTGCTTCATTTAATATTGTAACTCCTGTATCTCCACATTACTAGGTTCTACGTCTCAAATGCACAAAGCTCATTGTAGGCTCAGGACCTCTGCTCACACCATTCCCTTTGCTTGTGTTTCTCTTCCTCTGTGACCCCTTGCACCTTTTTTTTTTCTTTTTTTTAATTTTAGAGAAGGGTCAACAGGGTGTTCAGGGTCTCACTACTAGATCGGACTCATAATGATCCACCTGTTTACAGCCTCCCAAAAGCCGGGATTACATGCCACCACACCCAGTCTCAGTGGCCATCTCAGCGCATAGGCTCTGTGCCTGCTTGCAGGCGCTGTAATCCGCTGAGCTATTTGGCCAGCCCTACCCTTTCTCCTCAGGCTACTCTTACATAAGACCATTTCCCTGAGGCCACGACACCCCACACAAAAATACAGATTCCCATTACACCCTTACTTCTTCATATAATTTATCTTCATGGTGATTCATTATTACTTGTACAGTGGTTTAATAGCTTTTCTAAGGCAAGATTAAGTTCCACCTTCTTAGTTTGCCTTAACATCTCATAATACAGTAGGTGTACAACAGTAATCTCTATGAATGAACCAACGCAACTTCTTTAATATTTGTAACAATGTGCATTATGTAATTAAGGGTACCGAGGCTCAACACATCCCCTACCATCATCATCACACTTCCACCTCAGCCAGTCTGACTTCCAAGCTGTCTCTTAATCGTCATGTCATCCTACCCTTCAGTGGACTGAGGGCCACCAGCTCTAAACTCACAGTTGCTCCAACTGCCACACCAACTAAGAGCACTCACCACTGTCCCACTTTTCCTTTGCCTCCCACATCAATGGCCCACAACCAAATGCCTTTGGTCCTGTTTTCCTATGTTGGCGTCCAAGCAGACCTATAAACATATTCTTTTAAATCTTAAATTCTTTTAAAATAATTACTCATCTTAATTAAAATTATTGCTTTACTCAAGAGAAAATAATCTTCGATTTCTTCTGTTTCTCTTTGGGGATAAAAGGGATTATGAAATCTATGAATCCTTCAGGAGACATTTTCTTAAGCCAACAGATGAAACTCAATTTTTGGAACCCGGCCAGATGAATTGTGAAGATCAAAGATCAAAAACTCATGTTTGCAAGCAAGCCCTAGAATCTTGATTTTGTATACACACATTCCTGATCTTTACTGTTTTTGTTCTGAGAAAAGAATATTAACATCATTATCTTGAAAACAATTTCATAGACTTTAAAACAAGGTAGGTGTACTATTCCATAAGATTTCCAAATTCTTTATATAATCTTTCATAGGTTTTTTCATTGTTAATATTCACACCTTTATTCTTTTATTTTATTTTATTTTATTTTGGCAGAACTGGGGATTGAACTCTCTGTTCTTTTAAAAGCATAAGAAGTCTATATTTTTGGCTATGTGTCAGGTTATATAGCAAGAAATTATTACAAGATGTGCATTCCAAACTATTACTTGGACTTTCTTTCAACTATTCCTATAATTGGCACAGATCAAAAGCTGCATTCCTTAAGGAATGATGCAATTCAGCATCTTATTAATTAAATTTCCTATATAACTACACATCAAATTCAGCAATAACAAAAACATTTTATTGGTAGTATGGTTGTTGGTACAGGAAGAAAAAAAGATAAGACTGTATTTTTTAAAGAGAAGAATATATTCACTGGGGGGAAAAAAGCTTCTGTCTGAGAGAGGGACAGAAGGGGACTCGAGTGGGTTGCCCAGGACCCTGCCTTTTCTTGGGATTTTTATAGAGCAAATCCACAAGGTGAGGTGGGTCGAAGGTGGGTCCAAGGTAGGAAACGTGGGAAGATGGACATGAGGTAGGACAAAGCTATGGCCAACCAATAAGATTACAAGCACAATTGCTCAGGTGAAATTGATTAAATTGGGATCAAATGGGAAAGTGAGTGACACAGCAAGCAGATATCAGCACAGAGCAGGGCGCTTCCTGTGGTGGGTGGGTTAGTGACTCTTCCTGCGCTTTTCAAGATGATTGATTCCTATTTAGAATACCGATCTCTTATAAGACTTTAAAATACATTTCAACTTATTTATTATGCTATACAATAAAATTTCAAGTAATATCAGACTTATATTTCATAATAATTCACAAAATTATTCATTCATATAGTACCAAACTGCATGCACCTAAGAGAAAAAATAGACAAAAACAGAAGCCATACTAAATAAGTAAAAGTCACTGAGAAAATATATGTTGAGATTTCTTTAAAGTGAAGACACAGAAAATGGTTTTGTTGTGAGTAATGTCACAGTTCAAAAATCTCTTCTATGTAGAACATATTTGACACTGCAAAGATACTTGTATGATAGGCTCGTGACGCCGGAGAGCAGCTCACAGGTTCTGTACACATTGTTACTATTCCCGCTACGACATTTTCCACACCATATAAAGTACAGCAGTGCACACCACTCACTATAATGGCATCTATAACGTCTTCAGAGTCTGAGTGCTTTTGTCTCTCTAACGCTTGTGGAGTCTAATGAAGCAGCAAAACTCAGAACTGACTTCTTGACCAAATCTTCTCCCTCCCAACAGCAGAGAAAAGGCCCTTGTCAAGGTCCTGCAGAACAACCACACAGGGTCAAGGTCCACTTGTCAACTGCAGAACCCAGGACTTACAATTAGAAAAAACACTGCAGCGTAATCAACACATCAGTAACATATGAGAACGCCACAGGAAATAAATCCTGACTGATAAGCTATATGAAATAAAGTTCATAACTGGGCAGAAAATGAAATTTTACACCTTCAAATCAAACGCACTTACTGTGCATAAATATTGGACTTGGTATCAATAAGAAAATAAAAACAACCAACTTATTAATGAGCACTGATAAATCTAGTTATTAAAAATTATCTAAAGAAAACATAATTCACGAGCCTCATGTATTTGGAATACAATGCCTACCTTGAAGAAGCTCTCAATTGATATAGAAATCCATGTTTCTAAAATATTTTCAATTAACCAAGCAAAGACATTGGTTCCTAAAGACTATTGCCTAGAAAATTTTAACTGTGTGTTATCTAATTATTTGACTCACACAAAACGTATACTCCTGAAGGTTTCGATTTACGACAGTTCAGGTTGTCTTCACAGGTAGGTAGGAAGATAACTAATAAAATGTTAAGAATCTTTGGAAATTTTACAAGCACATCAATCCCATTTATTAATAACTTTAGATTCTGTAAAGGTTTCCATTTATTCAATTTGTCAGTCCTGGAATAACTTCACTTCCATTTCAAAGAAATAAAAGCAAAATAAAACACACCAAAACCCAAAACCTTGACCCTACTAACATTTCTATTCAAGTGAGAAATCTTGCTGACAGTGGAGCCGCGTACCCTTTATTAAATTTGCTTATTCTTTTTAAACAATCAAGCATCCATGTCCCACTCTCAAAAAAAAAAAATCTTTAGGTAAATAAAACTTCACAACAAATATTTGTCACAATAAAAACATTAAGAGAAAATTAAAAATGACAATTAAAAAAAAACCAGAAAGCTACATTTCAGCTTCTTATAAAGGCAAACTCGTCTTACATAAATGTAACACATGTCAATTTCCTTCTTTCCCAGCTATGAGCTTTGGTGTGACTGTCCATGGTGACACACACTGGCTGAAACAGGCAACAGCACCACTAGAGAAGCATTCAAGTCTTATCTTATTTCTATTTCTGGGTTGCAAGTTTGTTAACAAGTGGCTGTATTTTGCATATCCAACTCTTTAGTAACTATGAGTTGTGCTCTTTTTTTGAAGCTATAGCCCTGAAATGACAAAAGAAGACTTGGGACAGGCCATAGGGAGGACAGTGGCTTGCTTCCTGGGCTGGGCTGCACCCAGCTTGCTTTCTCTCTCACACACACTTTCTCTCTCTCTCTCTCTCTCTCTCTCTCTCTCTCTCTCTCTCTCTCTCTCTCTCCCTTCCCCCTCCCCCTCCCCCCCCTCCCTCCCTCCCTCCCTCCCTCCCTCTCTCTGTGCCTCTCTGTGTGGCTCTGTCTCTGTCTCTGTCTCTCTATCCCCCCTTACCTACACCTCATGTGTGGTCTAGCACATATTTAGCTACTTTTCAAAACCTCATGTTACAGCATCTTCCCATGAACCAATCTTCAAAAGCTTCAAAGTTGGAGGCTTACAGCTTTGAAACTTGCTTCCTGCCATGCCGCACCTTTAAATACACTGGAATCTGAAATGGTGACATTGGTACACAGCCAGAGCCCACTGGCTTCAAGAAGTTTTAAAAGCTTAAGCAAATAATTAATGGTGACAAAAGATATACTTCCAGATTAATATTTATTGAAATCTCCTCCAATTATTTAAAAAGAATATTATTCTCTTTTTTTTGTCATTGGTGGAAAAGGGAGAGGGGCAGTCTTTCTACAAGGAGTCTTCTCGAAAGGGAGGATGTTTGTGATATACAGTGGTGAGCATGCTGAAAGGCATTAACAGTCCAGAAAGGGGTCCATCGAGAAATGCCTCGCTGCAGGGGACCATTGTTCCTAAAACTTTCAAAGTTACAGTCTTAACTAAGACTAAGCCATCTTGTTTCCTACCTAAATCAATTTCACCCAAATGAGGCGGCTGTGTTGCAATTCATTGTTCCCCAGACTCCAAAGCCAACCATCTGCTGTTGGAGTTTCTATGCGTTAATTAAGGGACTACCCGTTTGACAGGCAAGAGCACAGAGTGGGGAGGAGGAGAAGGGGAATGCAGAATGAATGAAAAAACACACCTCTAAAAGAGACGTGAGGCTAACTGTCGCCCTGACCCCCTCACACCTCAGCTAGGTGCTGTCACCCCTGAGGCAACCAAAGTTAGGAGCAGCAGCCAAGCCAGCCCCTCAGGGTAATACCCAGACCCTACCTTGAAACAGAAAGGCTTTCGTCCCATTATGCAGCCCGGGCACTTGGCGCACTCCAGCCGTGGACTCCCCGAGTTCTAACTCCGTTAAGACGTCGATCTGCAGGGAAGGGTCCACCCCAAACCCCCAGACTGGTGGGAATGGGGGAAAGGAGAACAGAGAAAGAAAAAATACAAATACTCAGTTAAAATACAAGCCTCTTCCTCCAGGGAACCACAGAATCGCATCTTCGCGACAGTATAGGGAGGTGGCGCCGAGCGGCGACCCTGCGCTGCCGCGGAGAGCCTCACCCGCGATCTGCAGCCACGCTCGCAGCAGCCGTGCGCCCGACCCCATCTCCATGACCAACTCCGGCCCTTGTCTCTGCAAAGTTCCTCCCAGCCCCAGACCCTGTCCGGGTGCAGCCGCCTTGCGGGCTCCAGCACAAGCACGGGAAACCCTCAGCCGAACCCACCCTACTCCAAGATCCCCTCCAGACCTACCCGGGGCCGGAGCCGGGCGCCCCGCCGGCCCAGCCGAGGTGGGAGCCACCCGTCCCCACCCAGCCCCGCGATCATGCACTCACCCGCTCCGAGCCAGAGGATCAGCCCGCACGTTCTCAGCAGGACCCGGGGCTCCATGGCGCGTAGGGCTCAGTCCATCGTCTCGCTCTTTAAAAATAAAATAAAAATCGAGGAGGGCTTGGAATCGCGGGAACCAACGTTTGCGTTTCCTACTGCCGCCTCGGAAAGACTGAATTTGGAGATTAACACGATTTGGTCGCCTAAGAAAGGAAAGGGCGGCCCCCCCTGGCGCGTGCGGAACTTGGAGCCTGCGCTGCGCTCATGGTCCCCGCACGCGGGGTGCAGGCGGCAGCTGGCCGGAGGGCGCGGGGTCCGGGGTCTGGGTCCTGGTCCGGGGGTGGGGAGGGAAGGCTCGGGCTCCAGTTGGCCCGGACCGGCTCCCCGGGATGAGTGCCCCAGCCGGAGGCACGGAATCCGAGCCAACCTGCGGTGCAGGCAGAGACAATGGAGACAGCGCCGGGAGACGGCGGGAGAGACGGCGCCTCCGGGAAGGGCGGGGCGGGGCGGGGCGCGAGGGCGGGGCGGGGCGGCTTCCCGGGCTTCTCCCCGCGGCCGCCGGGTCCCCAGCCCGTCCCGCGAGCCCGGCTGCACCTCTGCGGCCTCTGCCCTCCTGCGCCCTCCCCCGCCGACCCGGCAGCATCAATCTCCCCTCTGGATCCGGAGGTCTAGGTTCAGCTGCTAAGTTGATAGGCGGCCCTTGCTCTCGCCCTCGATTTCGGGCGCTCGGCTAGAAAATCCCAGAGCCGAGACCACCCGGCAGCAGGAGGCGGACGCTGGCCCCGTGTCCCCGCCCTTACAGGCAGAGAAAACCGGCTGGCGCGCTGGCTCTGGAGCAGCACCGAGCAGAGCACCCCGGCGGGCGCGGGGCCGAGGCAGGACTCCCGAGCTGGAACGGAGGCCGGGGCCGGGGCCGGGGCCGGGGCCGGGGCCGGGGCCGGCGAGCGGGACGCTCCAGGCCCGACTGGAGGCGTCCTCTGCCCGGCTGGGCGCCCGAGAGCTCCCCGCTCTAAGAGCGCAGAGAGAACTTAGCGGCCAGCTGCTGGACAGCTCCGGGACCTCGCGCGCCCCCTGCCAAACCCAGGCTGAGAACCCAGGACCCAGGAGGACAGAGCTGGGGTGGGAAGGTGGACAGGCGCTAGGTGGGCGCACGAACAGACAGAAACACAGGCAGGCAGGCAATACCCAGAAAGAACAGACAGTCCACGCGCGAGAGCGGAGCCACGCAGTCAGCAACCACACTCGTGCAGGCTCTCCCCGCCCTTCAACGTTCACAGGACCAAAGTGGAGCCACTTGTGATCTGTCTCTTAGCTGACAAAAAGTATATTCAAGTCAATGCATAGCCCATTTTTCAACACGGTCCTAAAACTTCGAGGTAAATTTTTAGGAAAGACATCCCACTTCCATATTTGTAAAAGTTACAAGTTTCAAAAGAAATTAAAATATTAATCTTAACAAAGGCCAGTTCAGTTCCTTAACCTTCCATCCAAACAAGGGCACTAGGACATCTCCAACTGGACTCTACACAGCCACAGTCACCGAGATGTCTATGGGGTGCTCGGGGCTCTGGCCTGGAAGGGCGTTTTCCAGGCGGATGCATGAGTGAAGCGCGGCTCCATAATGGAGGCGGGCGCGTTACTTCCATTGTTGGAACTCTTGAGAAGAGAAGCTCAGAAGCTTCTGAAAGCTTTTTCCACACTATTAATTCTCCCTACCAAATTTTTCACTTAATTCTAATTTACTAAAAATTAAGAAATACTGCGGTAGTTACATGTGATAAAGTATGGCTGCTACAAAATGGCACCAATTTGCAAAACTATACCAAATTAAATTAATTCAAAGGGAATCATTCCTCCAGGAATTAGATTTGTCTATAGCAGTACATCCCAAAACACTAAGCTATAATACATGCTGTAGCTACAAAAGGTATATAAAATAAATTTTAAATTATATTATTTAAAGTTCTATTGGAAGTAAAAAAAATGAGAGGATATGAATCCACGTGCAGTCATTACATTTAGAAGTTCTCCAAACCTAGTTGCACTCAACTCCTAATACAGGGGTGCTCACAATTATGCTGACTCATGCTATGCTGACAGTGGGTTCGAGGCGTGTCTCTAGTGCAGCACACACAACGTGTCCCCTACAGAAGAGTTGTGTTGCACACCTCTAATTATTCCATTCAACTTCCTACTTAAGTTCCCTGACCCAACTAGATATTATGGAAGCCATTAAAATATGAGTAGAGACGGGGGGATGGCTCAGTGGAATAAGCGCTTCCCTGGCAAGCGCAAGGGCCTGAGTTCAATCCCTGGTACTGCAAAAAAATAAATAAATAAAATAAAATATGAGTAGAGAGAGTTGTTTAGGTGAAACTAAAGGATAAAGTTTGGAAAACTATAATAAAGATGAATCATTATTTTAGAGCTTATTAGAGCAGAAACTCTCAACCATAGAGATTGTCACATTTGAGGTTTGCGTAATTGTTTGCTGGGATTTGGCTGTGCCTTGCAGAGTCAGTAGGAGTTTTCCTGGTCTCTGCTCACCAACACCTGTACATTCCACATTTCACTGCATGTGTATCTTGACTATGGCTCATTTTGCTGCTTTTTAAAATGGTGTTCTAGGAAATGCAATGCACATACCTAGCTTTTCACAGTCTACCTAAGAGTCTACATGTTACTGCTTCAATTAGAATATAAAAACATTACTACTCTTTCAGGTCATGGTTTTCTTGTATATTGTATTAACTACTGAGACTCTCTTAAAGAATGTTGTTTATTCTTTCAATTACTAACAGAGGCATAACACCCGCTTCCCACTGCTCCCCATCTTCCCCAAACCATTTTTCATGTTCTAATCCCTGGAAACTGTGACTGCTACCTTATTTCAGGATTCAAAGTTCCAGATGGAATTATCATTCTTGATCTCATGACCATAAAATAGGAAGATTCTCCTGAACTATCTGGATGTGTCTAATCACAAATATCCTTCAGTGTGGAAGGAGGAGGGAGAAGAGATCAGAATAAAGCAAAGTGAGAAGAATCTGATCTGATGTCTGCGCATCTGAAGATGGAAGAACACAGAAGTGCAGGTCACAGAATTGGACAGCCTCTCGAGATTGGAAAGAACGAAGGTAAAGATGTCCTGAGAACCTCCAGAAAAGGCCATAGGGCTGCCACAACCTTGATTTTAGCACTCTTTTAGCATAATAAGTTGGCATTCATTCAATGGTAATTTGTTACAGTATCCATAGAAAAGTAAATGCATATTAGTCACAAAATGAAAAGTCCAATTAAAATAGTTTACTCTTCTGGCCTTTGAGAGACCTTCTACCATAAACACTTAGCTAAGCTAAATAAAATGTCCAATATTAACTACCCACTCATAGACTTAAATTAAGAAAAGAAAAAAAACCCAGATATGAGATAAAGAGACATAACCAGAGACTGGCAAAGAAAGCAATAGCTGATACGATGACAGGAAGATGGCAGGACACAGGGTATCAGACATTATGGAAATGGAGAGTTTAGCATCCACATCAGGTCAAGAAATAATCAATTACTATGAATGTCCAAAAGAGTAAGGATGTTACTGATCTCTCTGAGAAGTATAGGGAACTTGCACCCCATCTAAAAAAAGAAACCTTAAAATTTTTGCACTTTGATCCCTGAAGTGTCAAAAATAGTTGGCAACTGCAGATAATCATAACTGGAAAACAAAAATCACCTGCAATAAATGTCCAATCTCAGGTACAAGGCCGAAAAGTATATTCCCCACTGGTGTAGGAGCTCTACAATCAGAACTCATCATAATCTCCTAGGGCCTCCGGAAGAAGCGAATACAAAACTTGGCATCTGGGTGTGTGGGGCCCGCCTGCAACCTCAGTACGCCAGAGGCTGAGCAGGGCGACCACCTCTCACCGCAGGAGAGGCTGGGCATACAGAGAACGTAAAGCCAGTGTGAGCCACATAGGGAGCTATCGCAAAGCACAGTAACACAAAACAAAACTTTTCTTAAATGACCTTCCCACTTAAGAGGAAAATTTCTGCTTAACAATGAATAATAATAACAATAACAAAATATCATGAAACAAACTAAAGAAAACCCACACAAATAGTAAAAGAAAATTAGTATTTCATGAAGTCAGAACATCACTTTTAAAATGTGGTAGTTTACTCTGTACCACCCTAAAAAAATGGAATAAAATAAAATGTGGTAGTTTAAGTTAAGTATTCTTAAATGATTATAGATTTATCTAAAATCACAAGAATAAAATAATCAAAGAATACAATTATATAGGAAAAGGCTAGGCATATTTCTAAGTAAACTAAATAGAATTTATAGAAGTGAAAACAAATTTAAAGCAATATTAGCTTTTAATAGCGCCCATTAGCTAAATCCAACAAGAGTAAAAATATAGCTAATATCATTGAACAAAAAATGAGAATGAAAGAAAAACACATCTGAGAGTATTACTGAGAGGATGGCAAGATTGAATTTTAAAAAATGAGAAGCATGAAACTTAGAGATCCAACACATGACCACTGGGAGATATGGAATAAAAAACTAGACAGAATAGAAGAAATTATAGGAAATATTGAAACAAAAGTTTTCAAATATTACAGCACGCCACAAGGTTCTATTTCTCAAATAAAGACTCTTTATTCCCACAGAATGTCATCAATGTGACAAAAGGGCATGGAGATCTTAGGACTCTGCAAATTAGTAGCTGGAGAGCTGGAAAAAAGGCCAGAGTTTGAGGGGCCACTCTTCCTGCAGCATTCCCAAAGAGCAGGCGGCTACAAAGGCCACAGATTGTCCTCGGTGCAGGGCACACACAGGACAGCTCTGAATAGCACCATAAGGTCTTTCAGCCACATCAAAAGATGATGAGGCAAAACTTTCAGTCTAAATCAAGTTAGATCAGCTGACTGCTTAAATACTTTTAATTCAACATTTTTCACAGCACTTAGCAAAACTCAGAGTCTCAGGATAACATATTAAAATTTTCAAGATATAATCTAACTTTTTCCAGAAGAATCCCTTTCCATTTGATTTT